GAGGGGCCTGCCTCTGAACAGCCTGGCCAGCCAGAGGCAGCGGGACACCCCCAGGCCAAGGAGAAGCACAGAGCAGCCCCCAGAGCAGAGAAGAACCGCAGGGGAGAGCCCATCAGGCAGCAGACCTGGCCCCCCAAGGCCCGGAAGAAAGCAGGGGGCACAGGGAGGCAGGGAGCTACCAGAGCCACAGGCCTGCCCGCCCCCGGCCTGAGCCCCCCTGAGAAGAGTAAAGGAAAGCGATTGCCTTCACCCAAGGCCGGTGGTGCCAGCGGCCGCCATGCCGGTGGCCCTCGGGCAAGCAGAGGGCTGTACCCGCAGAAGCCGAGTCCGCTCTTGATCACAACCAGAGCGAGCAAAGGCCTGGACGGGAGGCCAAGAGGCAGAGCCCTGGAAGGGACGAGGCCGCTGGGCAGGGGGACTACTCGTTTTGTCCAAAGCCTGAGGAGCGCTCCGCGGGATCAGAGTCCAGACGACAAGTGGAAAGATCTAGAACAACTCTGGCCAGTTGGCTCGACACATGGAAGGAGCGCTGTGCCCCGGGCGTCTCCGCGTGAGCGCGAGCATCCTGACAAGAGCAAGTGGCAGAAAGAGCTCGAGTTTGCCTTTGAAGAGCTGTTTAACACCAACCGGAAGCTAAAAAAACACTTGAGTTTGTACCTCAAACCGAGGCCCGGCGTAGGCCAGAGCCACATCTCAGAGGTGCGGGAATACAGCATGGAGGCCCCGAGAGAGAAGGGGGTGATGGGCGCCGACACGCTGCCCACAGGGGCATCTGGGAGCCCCGTAGAGGTGCATGCCCCCCAGACACCATCCAAACCCGATTTGCGACAGTTACTAAGCCAGATCGGAAACCTGAAACATCCGATGGCCAGGCCCACGATGAAGAACGAAGGTCAGACATCATCGTGTAAGGTAGGAGCGCTTCTCAGTGAAGAGGACTTCCTCTCCTGCAGTGCGGGATCTGGACAAGAAGCCCCCAAACCGGCCACACTGGGGGAGGGTTCGCATCAGCTTCTCCTGCCGGAACAGGTGGATGGAATCAACTTGACGACATCAAAGCAGAAGCTTAAAGCGGAGATGGAGCAGAGGAGGCAGAAGCAGCTGGAATTGCTCGAACAAACCGAACACCCGAATCTAAGCTTGGAAATCCACTACACAGCCGAGCTAGAGGAAGAGAGGCGGCAGCAGAGACGAGATCGCCTGGCCATTCTGAAGTCCTACTCCACCAGCCACCAGGAAAACAGGGGGTCCTGCTTCAGCACCTCTTCCCCCCTGTGCACCAGTGTCCTTGAGGACTGCAGCCAGGATCAGATGATCCGTGACCTTAAACAGCAGATTGTAGAGCAGAGTGAGTTGCATAAGCAGTTTCTTGAAGAAGCCAGGAAACGCTTGCAAGAGTTTCAGAAACTGTGTTAGAGGCCGGAGTCCCACCCGGGATAAATACATCACTGATAACTCCTACCCAGAACTGGCACTTGGTCTTTAAGCTCTGTGTTTGCGCCTTCGCCTTTATCCCCTGAGAACCCAGGAAGCTCAGTAGAACAGACGGTTGTGACATGATCCTCCAGGGCAAGTTCCGTTGCAGGAACTGAGCCCTCAGCTTGCCTGGAGAACTGCGTCCCGGTTGGGAAAACTGCTTCACACAGACACTCAGGGAACCCCCACGAGAGCCAGGAAGTGGGTCTAGGCGGGGACCCCAGAGTGGCTCTGAGAGCTAGGTGTGTTCACGTGCTTTGCAAAGTCCAGGTCAACTCAGCAGGTCAGAAGTTTTAGCTGAATAAACACAGGACTTTCAGGGGCGCGCAAGGTCAGACAGACACAGTTTCAAAGGAGACTTCATTGGTTGTTCAGTCACTCGCGAGGCGGCGGAAGAGTGGACGGAAGCCTCTCTGACTCTTTCCAAAGCTACAAAACAAACACCCTTTGCTAAGGTGTCATTTAACCCATTCTTACATCTTCAGTTAGGACAGAAGAGAGAAGAAAGGCAAGCCGGCCCTGCTGTGTGACTCTGGGACTGGCAGTGGGGGTGGCTGTCCAGAACGTTTGGTCACCTTCCTGCCCGCTGGCTTCCCCTCTGACCCAGCAGCCATGACAGCCGTGGAGACCCCACCTGGTAGAGTTTTTTCTGCTAATTGCAGGCTTCCGAGTGGTGTAGGGGTTGACCAACTTTTTCTGCCAAGAGCCAGAGAGTAAATACTTCCATCTTTGCCAGACACAAGATCTCTGTGGCAACTACCCAGAGTCGCTCCACTGTTGGGACTCAGAAGGGGCTGGAGGTGACATGGAGATGCTTGGGCGTGGGTGTGTCCAGTAGCCTCGGCCAAGGCAGCATAGGCTGGATTCGGCCTGGGCCTCCCGCCTGCTTCCCTCCCCCCGCCCACGTTCCTCAGCGCCTGACAGGGGCCAGCATTGTCCGTCAGGACATGTCGCATCACTAGCCGGGAACGGCCTTGTTAGCGCGTCTGTATTTTGCAGACGATGCAGTGAACATCTCTGTTCACTGTGGGAGACACCACCCACATCCGAGACCCAGGTATTTGCTGCCCACTGTCTTCCACCTGCGTGCCACTTCGCTCTCCTGTACCCCAACCCTCTCAGCGACCTGCCTGCTCCCTGGGCTTGTCCCCACCTTTATCATGGACATACAGTGATGGGGACTGTCGTGCTTGGTCCCGTGTTAACTGTGAGAAGGCTGAAACTTGTCTCCTGAAAGCTCTTGCCGCCTTCTCCCGTGTGGGGGGAGAGGTCACCTGCTGATCCCCACCGCAGGGCACTCGGTCCCGTGACTCTGTCAGCCTTTTCTCCAGGGCCATAGCTGCTTCTGTGTTGTGCTTGTTTCCAAAGAGACCAAAATCCTTAGTGCATTGACCTCAGAAGGTCAGGTATCAAAAATGCTTTTGGGAATTAATCCCAGGTTCCGGCACTGATTTGAAAAGAGAAGGCTTTGGCGGTTGTGAACACCGCAGCTGGGTTCTTGTTTCCGCCTCTTCCCGGGAAAGGATGGCTTGCCTTTGTAATGTTCGTCATTGACAAGTGACAGACACTGAGCTCCAGTCACTGGCGACAAGCAGGAGACCCGCACCCCAGCACCAGCTTGGAGGGGGAGTCAGGCAGTAAGGGGGCGTGCTGAGGGCGTCCCTGCAGCCCCGCGCCAGGCCCCCCGGAGCACACGAAGCTCGCGCACCTACCACATTGGTGCCGATGGGTGCCAGCGAGTGCGCCCACTGGGCTTGCTGGTCTTGCTTTTTGATTTTAGTAAGTTGTTAGTGGTTTCAGCAAGGAACCTTCTGTCCCACATTTCCATCACGGCTTCCCCCAGGTCCGACATGGCTTTTCCACTTCCGGTACGGAAAGTGTGACTGTGGCCTGGGCCGTGTTGTCTGCTTCCGGAACGTCGTGGGTTAGGGTTGCAAAGCCACTCGGCGATGCAGTCGAAGCCCACTGTGGGTAAGAAGTCGGGGTCAGAGGGCTGCTGTCATTCCCGAGCCAACGACAGGGACTTGGGGACCTGTGCCGTACTCCTCCCTGGTGCCAGGGTTGGAGTTGGTGCTCAGTGTTGCACAGCACAGGGAGCTGGGGGCACCCGTTGGTCCCTGTGGCACCGTCCCTGTCCAGGGAGACGGAAAGGGTCCCGGGTTTAAAGCTGCCAGCCTGGAGCGACCCCCATCGAGCAGCCAATGCCTTCCTGACGCACTGGCAGCCACGGTCTAAGGAGCGGACAAGCTGTCTCTAGGACTGTTTTTGTTTCCATTTGCAGAGGTAGTTGTTGTGGCCCGTGTGTTCTAGGTAAGGAATCGCCCCTCCTTGGCCACACTTGAGCTAAAAGTGGGTGTGGGGGGGCGAGTGGCAAGACACGGGGGAGGATGACTCATCTCTGCCCGGACAGCCACACCCTCACTGTCCCCTGGCAGCAGGACGAGACACCCTGCCCTGTCCCACCTGTCTCGCAGAAGGCCGACAGGGTGAAGCCTAGTGTTGTTGGGTGACACCACAGCCCTCCAGGAGCTCCCCAAAAGAGGGCCCTCAGTGACCCCTGTGGAGGTGTCATGGGTGACTCCCTCACAACCTCAAGGGCCGGGGGTCCTGGAAGACCCTGTCTTGGCTCCCCTCCTGTCACCCTGATGTGGCTGGTCTGGTGCAGCCTTGAGCCTCCCAGGCCCAGCCCCGTTCTAGGTACCTGGCAGCTCCACCCCGTGCCAGCGCAGTGCCCAGAACCTGGCCAGCATCTGACCATGCTCAGTGATGTGGGCAAGGGGGCGAGGTCTCGGTGCCTCCACAGGTACAGCCAGGTAGTGAGGACCGGACACGGGCCTGTGTGTCCTCACCCTCCGTCTCCCTCCCTGACCCTGCTTCCAGCGGCGTTTGCCAGTGTGTCCTGCCCCCTGTCCCTGCCTCACTGCGTTTGCTGGAACCTCTGTCACTGCCCCCTTCCTCACATCCCTGCCTCATGGCCGCTCTTACCGAAGCACTGGGCGCCGGGGCTGGTCAGGGTGCC